GGAGCGCTATAAAAGCCTCGATTCTAACTTTGTCTAACCAAAGGGCCACTTTATCAAGGTCCCGGAACATGTGGCCTGACCAGCAGTGCCTGAACGAGGTGGTACATGAGTGAGAGCTGTGTTCACAAGGGCAGGCCCTGAGCACCCAGGGGAAGCAGTCCACATGTGGCTGATCAGGGTGGTCTTCCAGGAGGAGGTGGGCCCTGAATTAGATCTAGAGAATGCTGAGGGAGCAAGTGGTGGCCCCCATTCTGGGGTCTCTCATGTTCAGCCAGCCACTAAGGAAAGCAGTTTTGATCTGTGTTCTCATCGCCCTGCTGGAAGGACTGGGGCTCAAGGCATGCATATCTGTGGACCAGCAAGAGACAATTGCCTAGTTTCTACAAGAACATACTTTATTCTACGCGGGAAAATTTAGGTGGCTGTTTCATTGGGTTAACCTGCACTTCCTTAGACCCGTTTCTTTTTGAGTGTTGGACCCCACAGCCTGCAGCTGTGAGGGACTGCAGACGCAGAAACCTGCGTCTGTGTTCAGGCTTTGCCACTTGTGTGACCTCAAGCAAGTCACCCAACCTCTCTGAGCCTCTATTTGTTCACCTTTTAAAAAAGGAACAAGAATATTTGCCTTCTTTCCTCCCTATGTTTTTTTTATTAAATGTATTTCTTTCTTCTATAGCTGAGAGAAACCGGAAGAAAGACAGAGTAATGAGCCGCAGCAGGGTCTTCATGCCACATCCCGCCCCCAGCCTCAGCCTCACAGAGCGCCGCGTCACTGCTGCATGACAGTCCGCCCCGTCTCTCTCCGTTCCTGAGAGGATCAAATGGAATCATAAATCACGATTGAAAAATAAAAGGCACTTCGTAAATGGTGAGCACATGACAAGTGGGAGCTGCTAGGACTCTGTAAATGTCTCTTTGGAAACTCAGGCTGCAGAAGCCCAGGGAGGCGTCCACCCTCGCCCAGCCCTACCGTGAGCCCAGTGGGGGCAGAGACAAGACCCATGCTCCTCAAATGCCACTCGCATGCTTTTCCAATACAGCGGCATGCCTCCGCCTCCAATGTCTCCTCTCTCTCTCATTTCCTGGGCTCTCCAGGGGCCTGTGTGGATCGCCTGGCCCTAACTGGGTAGTCTGTGACGCCTCCGTGTCGTTGATCCCCTCTGCAGCAGCCTGTGCCCTCCTGCCTCCCGTCCTCTCCAAGGCCTTCCTGTCTATATGCTCATCACTCGAACATCCTAAACGCAGCCCGGGAAGGGCCCCCACCCCCCTCCATGAGGGTAATGCCTCCCTGGGGACGGCCACCCTCCCATTTAGAACTCGGTAGGATGGTCCCTTCTGACTCATTCAGAGCAAGACAGTGAGACCTTTAGACTCGAGTCTAAAAGCCATCTGTGAAAGAGTCCTGGAGCCCTGACCTGTGTCCGCTACGGTCACAGCCAGGTGCACGAGCCTACCATGTAGGGGGCAGGGCCTCTCATGGAAGCAGGGCTGGAGGGTTGGACTCCGGATTCCGGATTCCAGATTCCGGTTCTCAGCTGCTTCTTCTACCCAGATATCTCTGCCCGATCAACTAAACCATCTGCCGCAGAGCCCCCTGCAGCTCTGTGCCAGCCTCTGGGTGTCTAGAGACAAGCCCTAATAGGCCCGTCCGTGTCCTGCACCCCCATTCCATTCCTCCCACCAGCCCTGCACCTCCTCTCCCGCAGAGTCCCCCCCCCCACAAGCCCAAGGCCTGGCTCAGGCTCTCCATTCCAGGAGACAGGTCACGTCCACCACCCCGGGGTGCGGTGCGAGCCAAACTAATCAATGGCAGAGCGGTAGATTAAGGGGCCCAGCTCGGAGCCATCCATCACTGTCGTTTACCCGGGCCTGTCAGCCTGCAAATGGAAAAGGAGATGATGTGAAACAACCCATCTGCAGGTTTTTAACGCTCTTTACAAATTGCCGTGGTGAGTAACTTGTTGCCTGTATTTATCCCTTTTCAAATTGTCTCTTAGCTACAGTCATCTGTCTTCATTCTACACCCCGATGGCGCGTGCTCCGCCAGTTGGGCCACCTCATTATTTCCCTGATGCTGCTGCCTGGAGGAGGCAGGAGAGGAAGAAAGAGGAGGAGGAGGAGGAGGAAGGGAGAAAGGGAGAGAAGAAGAAGGGGTGGGGTGGGAGGGTTTCCGGTAGAGCAGGGACTCTGACCAGCAGAACTAGCTTGGACAAGGGCCTTGGTTGAGATCCTTCCTCCAGAAGTTCCTGCTGCCCTAAGCTCATGGTAACAGAAGGGGACCCGACCCCCCTCTTCCAGAGAGTTTGGGAACAGTGGCTGACCTCCCGGAGGAGACCAGGGCATTCCGGATTTCCAGTTCAAGGTCGCAGACTCTGGCCACTCAGCCTTCCCTCCCTCGAGGAGAAGAGTCCACCTGCTAGCCCGACTGCAAACCTGCACCGTGAAGAGTCATCTGTCTTTTCAAGTTTGTTTTATTTCTCCAATGGAAGCAGGAGGAAGAAAAAGAGAAAGACAGGACCCCCGAAAGGTCTTCATGCCATGACCCACCCCTCTCCGCTGGCCTGGGTGGCAGGCATAGGCATGCACACCCCACTTGCTCTGAGAGGTGCAGCAAGCGTACCGGGACCTTCCCCAGGTGGCTGCAGGAGTGTTCCTCTGTGCCACTGCCTGGCCCACAGTCCCTCGAATGTTCCTCAGCCTCACCCCCTCATCAGACTTGCTGCTTTGGGCTCTCCAGTGAGACGCCTGCCTGGGTTTTGGTTCCCACCACCCGAGGTCTGGCTGGAAGTCCTGTTTCCCAGCTTGGAGCAGAATCCTTCCCCAGTGAACCAAATGTTATGTCCCCAGAATTTATATATTGAAGTCCTAGTGCCCCAAGGAGATAGCATTAGGAGGCGAGGCTTTGGGGAGTGATTGGGTCATGAGCTTGGGACCCTCCAAAATGGCATTAGTGTCCTTGTAAGTGGCCCAGAAGACTCCCTCGCCCCTCTGGCATGTCCAGACACAGAGCGCGATCACCGACAACGGAGAAGGAAGTGGGTCCTCATCAGACACCGACTCCACTGACACCTTGACCTGAAGCTTCTCAGCTTCGAGAACTGTGAGAAATAAGTGTGTTGGTTATAAGCCTCCTGGCCAGATGGATGAAGACGCCTCCCACTGGTCCATCTCTCCTCCACTCCCTTGACTCTCAACAGCAAACCAAAAACTTGTCTTACAGGCCCCCCTCTTTCTGAACTCTGCCGGTGCTTACCAGTGATGCGTGAACCCATTCCTCACTTGGCCACCTCTCCCAGGTCTCCCGATGCAGCCAGGCAAAGGCTGCAGTTAAGTGGTTTCTACCTGGGTAGTGTGTAACTGCAGAGGTTGGAAGGCCACGCCTGAGGGGGTCCTCTCACCGCACCGGGAGCCTAAGGCACAGAGAGACGCAATCATTGGCCCAAGATCACACAGCTAGTGAACTGCTGAACAGGAGCCAGAAAGCAAGCCTCTTGCAATCAGTGCTCTTCCTCCTCTACAATGGCGAAATCCTTGCATGAATGGAGTGACTCAAATCAAAGCTCCTCAGGGCAGAAAGCCATGGACCTCTGTCTCCACCATCCTCTTCCGAGCTCAGAGCAGGGCTTAGTTCATTTTTGGTAAGACAGAAAGAGAAGGACAGCACGAGAGGCCTAGCCCCACGTTCAGCTCTTCTGCACTGGTAGTCGAGAGCAGACAGCCCTCTCGCAGGGCTCAGAGCCCCAGTCTACTTTTTTTTTTAAGAGAGAGTTTTGCTAAAGGGCACGTGCGCTGACCAGGAACACAGAGAAAGAGAGAAAAAAGAAATCACCCCCCAGGGCGGGTGGCCAAGCTGCAATCCTTTTTCCTCCACTCTCTTCTTGGGTTTTGGGCATGCACACATATGCACCTGGCATGAGTTTCAAGCTGCTGAGTCCGGGACTCAAAACAAGGATGACCATGTGAGAGTCTAGTGCCTTAACCACTATACCACCTGCTGGTCTGCACTCTACTTTTTTTAAGTGCCATTTATTTTTCATTCATAGTAGAGAGTACACGTCAGAGAGAGAGAGAAGCTTCTGCCATAGGGTCGCATCATGTCCGGGTCCCCTTCCTCAAGCCCTTTAGCTTGTCAGTATCTCGGGCACACTGCAGAAACCTGGCGTGTTTCAGGTCCTACCGGGCTAGGGACCTGAACTGGCGATGGCCATGTGGCTTCCAGCACTGTGGTCCTAGGAGCAACCAACTGCACCACCCAGGCTGGGCCCCTGCCCTTCTCATTGGTGTCCTCTGGACCAACCCTACATCCACCTGGCTGTCCACTGCTGCGTTTCCGACACTGTGTCCAAAAGTTCCACTCAGCTTTCCACAGCACACTTTCAAATATCTGTGAACAGCTGTCAGGACCCATGAGATGTTCTCTTTCCAGGTTGAAGGTCTCAGGATCCCTCAACCACCCCTCACGCAGCATGGTATAAAGACCCCGGGACATGCCATTCCTTCCCCTCTGAATACCACCCATTTGTCAATGTCCTTGCTCCATTGTGACTCCCGGGATGAAATGCAAGGCTCCAGATGTGATCTGGTCACTGCCAAGCAAAGGGACATGCCATCATCTGCCCTGCTCTGGGCGCTGTGCTTCGGTGAGTACAGTCCACGATGCGCTAGCTCTCCTGGCAGCATCAGCCCCCGTTTGGCTCATGCTGTGCTCTGTCTGCTAATCCATCTAACTCTATTACCGGCTAATCCACCATTCTCCATCTTGTCCCCGAGGATTACATCCAAGTCTTTACAAAACTCCTTGCTGAAATCCAGATACGCCTCATCCGTGGGGTACCGCTTGGACGTTAGTCTAGAACACAAACCTACCGGCCCGAGAAAGGACTGTTTGGCTGAGCTTGGGCTTAGTCAACCCCGGATGATGCCCCGTTTTCTTTTTTCCTACAGGCTCAAGAACCCTCTTTTCAGTCATCTTTCTTCAGCGCCTTCTACAGCACTTCCCTCAGCCAAGGTGCTTGCTCGGTGTCTCTGCTGAGCAGCTGCGACAGGCTGCCTGATTGATTTTGCCTGTTGTGAGGTTTATGGCGGTGAGCAGGGGCTGTCCAGGGAGGAGCAGACAGGGGAGTCAGTCCAAATAGCACCAACGCGGGAATGCCCGTGGAGCTTGTAAATAGCGCGATCGAGGGGCTTTGAGTCTCTGGGTTGGAAAATTTATTAACAACGCCGAATATATTTCACTCTCCCTGCATAATGCTGGATTCAAAGAAAACTATGACAACATCCCTGGAATCCCAATTCTGCCGAGCCATTTCCTTTCTCCTATAATTAGGTACTCTGGGTTTTTAGTATCATTTTTTTTGTGTGTGTTTGTTTCTTCTGATTTCCACAGGCTATTTTTAGACCGATCATGACTCACTTTTTGAAAGGCGTTAGAAAAAAAATATCTTTTTCCCCAGCAATCAAATGTTCCTGTCCTGTGGGTGACATGCATTTAGGTAAGTCATAGCTGGGTGACAGACACAGGGGCCTGCTTCCAGGAGAAATGTCCCTGCCACGGAGGGTGCAGCTGTGAGGGAGGGATTCACACGGAACCTTCAGCCCTGGCCAGCCTCACTGACTGACCTGACTCTGTCCTCCGAAGAGGGAGACGGACGCAGGTCACTGGGAGAGCCCCACTCCGGGAAGGGCAGGTTCCACCAGCGGGATGCTGCGGACACATTCTACTCTGGACGAGCTGCCCCTGCCAGAACCACCAGGTCATTATTCAGGGCCAGGGGGGACAGGGCAAGGACAAGGAGGTGTGCCTGGCTCCAGAAAAGAGCCAACTGTGAACTCCCTGCCAGTGGGCAGGCTTCTGGGCAACGCTGCGGGACAGGGACAGCAACCCCAGCGTCCAAGGCCCCTTCTTCTTCTATTTATTTATTTATTCCTTCCGGGGGAAAGGACACCCTCAACTGGGCCTTCATGACACAATCCCCACATGCGTGCAAGTGCACCCAGGGTGCCCAGGGAGGTCCCAGGATGCGGCCCCAGGACCTTTCCTCTATGGGCCCAGTTATTTGACCACTGTGCCACCTCCTGGCCCCTCCAAGGTCCTTTCTAGGACTGACTATGCCAAATCTACCAAGAAGACTTTCCGCTCAAAAAGGGAAACTGAGTCACAGTGTCCAAAGTCTAGCCGACCCCAGGGCCAGGCAAGGAGAAGACGCCAGCACCGACGTCTGCTTGTACTCCCCAGAGCCGAGACCACACGGGGGGCGCCCTCTGCTCGGCTTCCCTGTGACCAGACGCCTGGACGGGGAGCCCTTATGCACTCTCCCTCGGCCTCCCCAGCAGCCACACACCTGCTCTCCTCCCGCCTCCACGGGAAAGGGGCAGCACGTGAAACCTGCCAGCTAGCCATGCCTCATTTCCCATCTCCTAGAGGCTCAGAATTCAGTTCCTTCTTTCTGGGAGTTTATGCTCTGAGGTCGACAGGCTGAAACTCACACACAGTTCAAAGCACGACAGGAACACGTCCCTGGGAGTGACACAGAGGGAAGCAGAGCCCGTGTGTGTCAGGGAGGGAAGGTCTCAAGCCTAGGTGGGGCCAGCCACACCGGCACAGTGGTGACACGATGCTCCTGTTGCTGAGGCCACTCGGGGGTCCTGTGTTCACGTCCGAAGTGCCTCCCGTGCACGCCATGTGTACACATGGGCCACGATCCTGGCTGAGGCCGGGGTGGGATCACACCATAGAGACCCTGTTGGGTCCTTCTCTCTCTCTCTCTCTGTCCTCCTCTCTCATGGAAGAAATAAATGAACTTAAAAAAAAAAATTGTACTTTGAGGCCGGCAGGTGGCATGGTGGTTAGGGGCTCTGGACTCCCACATGACCAACCACGGTTCAAGTCCTGAACCTGGCAACTTTCTTTCTCACCTTCTCTCTCTCTCTCTCTCTGGTCAAATTAAAAATAAATAAATAAATAAATAAACTTAATTTTTTTGTTTAAATTGTACTTTGTGGGAAACTGGCAGGTGGCATGATGGTTAAGGTGCTGGGCTCCCACGTGGCCAATCACGGTTCAAGTTGCGGACCTAATGGCTTGCTTTCTCACTTTTCTTCCCTCTGCCTCTCACTCTGGTTGAGTCAAAAAATAATAATAAACAAATGAAAAGAAATAAATATTTTTTTAAAAAAAAGAAGCTGAAAAAGAGAGACTGGGGACCAGCATATAGTGTAGCAGTTACATCTCTGGACTCCCGCCTGGCCCACTGTACTTCGAGTCCCAGACCCAATAGCAAGAAAAGAAAAGAAAAGAAAAGAAAAGAAAAAATTGTACTTTGGTACTTTGGGCCTCACTCAACTACACACTCTTCTTCCTCACCCTCGGGAATCTGCCCTATTGCCTTGTCCCACCCCACAACATCCGAGAATCAACTCCCACAGAGGGCCAATGATGCAGACAAGGGGAGGTGCCCAGAAAGGTAGGGGAACCTCCAAGAAAGCCTTATAGCTTACAGCGCCTGGCCCCACCTACTACTCGTGGTCCTGCATCCGCTCAGTATTTACCTAGGCCTTCCCGTGCTCCAGGTACCAGCCATGCAGCAGTGCCCGATGTGAGACACCGTGCCGGGACTCAGCGCAGCGCACGGCCCAGAGGAGAAGGCAGACGTTAGCCAACCATCTCAAAAGCGTGTTCCTTCAGAACATTCAAGTGAGACGTAACAGAATCACGCAGGGCTATGGTGCGTGGGACCCAGGGAACAGACCTGGAGTTCAAGGAGGACTCTCTGGAGGAGGTGTTATTGAGCTGGGATCTGAAGGATGAGGGACAGGGAAGCAGGTAAGAGGCGTGTGGAGAGGGGGCCTGGTGCTTTGGAAGATAGCAGCCCTGTACAGGGCTTTGTGGATCGTCCAAGAACCTGGGGCTCCTCTTCACGCTTCAGGACCCCAGTGGTGTCCCAGCAGGACTGCCCCACCCTCCTGACCTTCGAGAATCCAGCCTAGAGAGGGAGGCGGTACTCCCATGGTGCTTTGGAAGATAGCAGCCCTGTACAGGGCTTTGTGGATCGTCCAAGAACCTGGGGCTCCTCTTCAAGCCTCAGGCAGGACCCCAGTGGTGTCCCAGCAGGACTGCCCCACCCTCCTGACCTTCCAGAATCCAGCCTAGAGAGGGAGGCGGTACTCCCAAAGAACTCAGGAATGGGCGTGGCCCGGGACACCCTTGCAAGCGATTGGACTTGACGTCAGGTTGAATAGTGGGAACCGAGGAAGGCGGAAAGAAGAAGGGGGGTTGACCGGACATAAGGTGATGTAGTTCCCTGATGCAGGGAACACAGGGGCCAGACCACTCCGGGGCTGCTCCCTGAGGGTGATGAGGCGTGCCTGGCCTGTGTGAGGCCTGGGTCCTCCCTAGGACAGGTCGTGGAGGGTGTACCAGGCTTCTGAGAAGACGTGCTCATGGAAAGGCAAGTCGGCTGGGAAGTGAGAGAGGAGCCCTGGATGGGTCAGGACGCCAGGACAGGACATGACCCAGGCAAAGGCCGGGGATCCAGGGAGCAGGCACTTGCCCAGGGCTGTAAGAGGCTGCATGTCCTGGGGCAGGACGGCTCTCAGCATGGGAGATGAGGCCAGGCCAGGCAGGGGCAGGAAGGCTGAGGAATCTGGACTTGTCTTACAGGTAAAGGGAGTTAATGAAGAGTTCTGAGGAAGAAAATGCCATGGTAGGATTAGTCATCTGTGCGCTCAAACAAGCAACCCAACACTGAGTCTGCAGTGTGGAGGGCGGCTCGGCGAGAGTGGGGGTGGGGAGACCCTGCAGCCCAGGCTCCCCAGCAGAACAGCACAGAGGGCAGAGAGCCAGGGCTGTGGCACTGCATGGACAGGGGCCAGAGAAGGGGGTGTGGGAATGAGTCCAGGCTGATGCTGCTCGGCTAAGTGGATGCTGAACGTGAAGGTCTTATGGAAAACACCCTTTGGGACGTCCGAGAGGTGGAGCACATGAGAACCACAGGCTTCGGTGCCTCCGTTTTCCACGTGTAGACAGAGGCCAAGCAACTTTGTGCATTCGCCCCAGCAGCAGCTTGTTCCCCACTCTGTCCCCGTGGGCTCAGGTCCTGGTGGCCATTTGTCCTGCTGCTGAGGGCAAATCTGGAGGCCTTCCTGGGCCTTCGTTCACCTTCTCTAATCGGTTCAGCTTCTCCAACCCTCACCGAGGCAGGCGGGTCTCACTGCCCCTTCCTCTGGTCTCCTGGGCTTCCTCCCTGCTCAGAGTGCACCCTCAAGTTGCCCATGCCTGCCTCCCACGATGTGCTCCCCCCACAGCAGCCTGCGTGCTCAGACTCTGTCTCCGAGGAGCGTGAAGCCCTCTGGTGGGCCTGCCCCACATTCAGAGCTAAATGCCAGCTCCAGCCTGGCTGATGCTGCACCCGAGTCTCTGCTTCCCACCTCCCGCCTCCAGCACCCCACACCCTCCTGCCAGTGCATCTCTCTGCTGGTCTCTCTGCTCCTGGCTTAGGGCCTTGGGGTTCGCAGTTTCCTGGGCTCAGAACCCGCTGCCTCCTGACCTTCCCAAGACTCACCTGACTTAGTGTCACCCCACAGAGAGGGTCCCTGATCACTGGAGAGCACTGCCACTTCTATTTTTTTTAAGGTTTTGCCATAGGGTGTATGCACTCGCCAGAGACTGAGAGAGAGACAGTGCATAGGGAAGTGAGAAATTATCCCCCGGGGGAATGGCCATGCCGCAATCCCTTCCCCCTCCATTCACCTCCTCATACCTTGACCGCTATGCCACCTGCTGGCCCCAAGCAAGTCCAGTGTCTTAACCGCCATGCCAGCACCGCCATTTTTTTCTTTTTTTTTCTTTTTTCTTTTCCTTTTTTTTTTTTTTTGAGAGGTTTTTGCTATAGGGCACATGTGCTTTCTAGAGAGACAGAAAGCAGTAAGTCACTCCGGGGTGGTTGGCCATGCTGCAATCCCTTTTCTTCCATTCTCCTCTTGGGATTGTGGGCACGCACATACAATCACACACACACACACACACACACACACGGCTAGTTTGAGTTATAAGCCGCCAGGTCCGGGACCTGAACTGCTGTTGACTATGTGAGAGTCCAGTGACATAACTGGTACGCCATCTGCTGGTTCCAGCACTGCCACTTTTTAACACTGCTTTGCACCGCTTATTGTCAGATGCATTTCCAGTTCATAAGTTCGCCCAACACAGACACCCCT